GATAAGAATACGCATAAAAATATTTGAGGAGCGATGACAGCCGTGACAGCAACGTACCTGCAAGCGTTACAACCAGATGTGCAAAAAGTGGCTTTACGTAATTGATAGGACGGCAAATAACAAATTTGTCACAGAATAACAATTACCCCACCCCCTCCCCAGCATAAGATGCCATTCGATGTTGTTCAGCTAAGTTTTGTTCGTGATATTGTTTAGCTAGCAACATTGGAAAGGGGAGGAGAGGGTAAAGTTTACTTGCGATAGCGCGGTGAAGATTTGTCTCTCGTTAAGGTAGGATGTCTCGACTACCTCTGCAAGTAGTTGTAGAAGAGAGAATCAATAGCTTTATTTTCAGTCTTAGGTTGACCTCGCTATAAACCATCGAAAATAAGCATCAACACAACACAACTGAAAACAAATGAGATTCTTGAAGTCAAAATAACATGAACGAGGGTTCATTTTTCTTCCTAGTATTTTTATATTAGCCTTTATGTCGTTGACTTCGTTACAATCTCAACGTTTATACTTGCCTAGGCCAGAATAAGATACCATTCAGAACGAAGATTTATAGAATATATTTTGCGCTGAGACCAACGACATGACTAAGAAGATGAGAACAGAATTATGGAAATGCTTTCTTACTTCTGTGTTACTTATAAGAAATTGCCAACAAAATAACCGTCAGTCTGAAATCAAGTGGAAATGGATTTCAGTACAAACCTTCAACTTACAGCCGCCGTATGGAGCTCCCCAGCCGCAATTTTGCGCGTTGACCACAATCAGAGTTACGGAGAGAATCACCACAGATAGAATTGCATTCATTTTCAACGGCTCAATAACTGCGACAATGCCCTCTGATCACGAACAACACCGTGAGTTATGCCACCTAGCTATATAACTACGATTAAACTCAAACATCATTATTAATTTACGAGCGTAGACTCGTTTTTTCGCTGATTGCTGCAATTACTTACCGCGGAATACCTCATAACTCGCTCATTACGCCTTGGCTCGAACGAGGTAGAGCATGAACAAATATAATTTTTAATACTCATCTTAGAGGCGTCAAATTTCCTAATGTGAATTCGAGGAATTAATTATAATACTTAAACACTTTTCTCAGGGGTATCGAACATTCTACTATTCCACCAAGCTTACATCATTTCCATTTAAAATTACCGTTGGGTTTCTTTTCACGGTTAAATTACTGCGTTTTGCCAAAAGGACCGTTTCTGGACATAAATTATTAATCGTTATTTTATCAGAAGCTTTCTGGTTTGGCCTTGCGAGGGGTGAAACAAATTAAATGAAAAGATAAGTAGATATAAACGTTATGTTACTGTATTAAGGTCCAAAACCTTCACCCACAGAAATTCATGGAAGAAAAAAAGTTCCATCGATTTTGATTACAATTATGAATAGAGACTTACGTTATTATAGTCAACGCCCACGTAATTATTCAGTTATTATTCAAATGAAATCGAAAACGTGTCTACTGTAGATAGCAAATTAAAATGATATCAAAATCCTCTTAAACGTCTTATTGACTAGAAATGGAGAACACCGATTTGGACCAAACGACGAGACATGTTTGCCTTCATATCACTGAATGGGTGTTTTAAACCCCCGTTTCTCACTTAGTTTAATTTCGGCGGAACTGAATAGATTGGTCTCGATCACTGAACCGGAGAATTATGTATTCCTAAAATTTTAATAGACTTCCAATTTTAACTTAACACAAGTTATTTGGCTTTGCTAAAGTTCTCACTTTCTCACCACAGAATCAGCTAAATAGGTATGATCTTCAAAGAATTTTTCTTCAAAATTAATTGAAAAAGATGTTTCGAGTTTCATTTCATACATTGCAAAACTTCTGAACTTCTTGGTATGTGGTGGCCATCGATTAACATTGCATGAAAACATTGCTGTAATAATTGCAGTCTGTATTACTTTGGCGTCCACCAATTTAGAAGAAACGAAACTCATATGATGGTGATATCTGATAACGATAATGAGTAGCGGTTTAGACATCACCCTTGGAAACGGACGATAATATCTTCATACTTGGCATCGAGTACGTTCGATTGGTATTGCTCGTGCAATGTTGCGCGTCCGAGTGGGCTTTACATACAAAGGAAAATCGAATCTCGAAAACATCGCTACGTTTTCAGGAAACAACCAGAAGCTATCTTCAAGATGGCGCATTATCAAGGCAGGAACAACACAAATGTTCTAGCTCTTCCAAGTCATAAGATGCAACGAAAGCCTGCATGTAAAATCCTACAGCCTAAAGTTTGTCTTTTAATCATCCATGATGTCAAAACCTTTTGAACTTTAAAGGTCTTAATAAGAAAAGATAGAAATACGTCGTTTTTTATAACAACATCAAACTGGGCAGAATATCTCAGCATGAAATGTGATATTAGTGTACTATACACAGTTAATCGCCTCGACTGATTATAGAGAAGGGTGTGTATTTGTTTACAATGTTGTCTTACTTTTTCGACTTAATTACATGGACTTCTTACACGTAAGAAAAAAACCCACACCCATATGGACGAGTTGTTGAGCCGGCACACCTTGGCGTCAGCATCAGGAGACGCAAAATTTATTGAAAAATTTAAGACTCTTTTAGGTTAGCTTGGAAAAGTGTAAGATCTAGCTCATATAGCAGGTTTTTAATGTCCTCTTGGTAGACACAGTCAAACCAGGAGAATTGTTTCTCCCAGTGAACAAAGTTTGGAGTTTCGTTTTTCTCAGTGAAAGCTTCAAATGTCTATTGGAGCTAGGCGCTACGTCATCTTGAAAAGTTTACCATAAATTATTCAAGTTCGTCGTTTGAAATCCGTGTTAACCTTCTCCATCCTAACCATCCTTGTTGCTTTATGGTTTATTATTATCTGGTGGTGTTTTTCTATGTAAGTGTAAACTATGCCACTATTTTCAGGTTTCCTTCAATTTTAATGTAACTTTGTACGTGGCTAAAATAACTCAAACTGCCATTTCTGAGCTTCCTTAAATTTAGGATGGAGATGCAAACACGAATCAGTCGGCGCGAGAACATTTAGCAGATTCTGGTGAGTATGGGAAACATCGTGAGACACAAATTATAGTTCAATTAGAAATAAGATAATATATTTTATCTGAGGATGCCATGAAAAAGAGAGTGGCGAATAGAAACGTGCACAAAAGGTCGATTACCTTTGGAATTTTCATTTTTGCAAGAATTATCATGTGAAGCATGTGAAGCCTATGAAATTTACCTGTCAAATCTCATATGTCTGGTGCACGATGACGTGATTTTTAAACCAATCAACTTCCGGTTTTTTAATAGAGCTTCAATTTGAACATTGGAACCTTCATTTGAAGAGTTCAAGCTTGAATAAAAAAAATAAAAAAAAAAATAAAAAAAAGAATGAAATCAAAGTTTCGAAAGTGAACTAATTCATTCCTTCTTTTTGGCATGAACGCTGAGTTAATTGAATTTCTAAAAGGGGCACTATGACCTTCAATAATTAAGAACCCAGAAAAAAATAGTTGCATCGATAGAAACTTAAATATATTGGTCTTGTCTTGTACTGGAGATATTTGAGTTGCCCGATAGTTTAATCTCAAAATAATAAAAAAAGGCTGGGTAGAATTTCAAACCTTGTAATGCCCTTGTGTCTTGGAGAAATCACTGAAAACTAATCATGTGACAGTTTGCTCTCCTTTTAACAAGGAACGAAATATATTTATGTTAGCGTCTTAGGGACACTTCCCATAGGAGAATCTTTCCTGACGTCATTGTTTATATATTTCCTCCTTAACATACGATTTTGCCTATAGAAGGCGTCACGCTAGACACAAACTGACTACAAAAATTTAAAGAGCTTGTAAAACTTAGTAACTGGTGAGATCTTTGGCTCTTTGAGTGTAATATTCGGAGAAATTAGCTTTCAAAAACTGCAAAATTTATGGGTGGCGAAAGCGCTAATAAGCTCATACATTGTTTGTACAAAGCCGAGCTTTTAAATCTGCGTCGTGCAAAAAGTATACAATACATCGGGCTCAAATCCCTTGGGGACAGATAATAATGCTGTGCTTTTTTAATGTTCAGAACTTCTGTTTTTGTAGCTCCATCAGAAACTGTATCGCTTATACTAACGAGGCAAATATTGTAAACAAAGATTCCCCTATAGCCATCTAACGGAATTTCTCCAAACACAATCTTGGCATTGCAGCAAAATCGCCGTGATATTCAATGAGAGTACTGAACCATAAACAAAAAGCTTTCTGTTTGTGTAATTTTTGCATGCCACAAATTGAGGTGATCTGACTTTGGCAGATAATGATGAAAAGATGCAAATCAGACAAGCTTTGGATATTATTCACAAGGACTGATAGGATATTTCTTTTCTGTTTTTCCTTTATGAATCAGTTCCAGGATTGTAGGCTAGAATGCAGAAGCAATACGATATTGGATTTTTCGTTTTAACTAAAAATTCCGGAAGTTTTGAAAGGGGTTGGAGAATGGTATGGAGAGTTCCTGGGAGGATCTCTGGGACAAATCAGAACGCTGCTGAATTTCAATTCCGAGCCCGGGAACGTTCAAACAGAAATTTCGGAAATTCCGGGGGAAAAATCAGATGGAACTGAAATTCCTGGTAAGAACGTTTTAAAAATTTGGAATGCCAATGGACATAGTCCTCTTGTCCGGAATTCCGAATGATGCTGTCTGGAAATGTTCGGAAATCCAATTCAAATTTTTTGGTCGCTAATTGAAAACGCCTTGTATTTTGCTGTACATTCGTAGCCGGCAATGAATCCTTAGAGCCGATCATTAAACAATGTTGATTTTGGCAAATACCGTGGAGGAAGATTTTGATTTCTACGCTAATTAAAAACAGGTAGACAATGGCGTCATCTTCAAGGGCTATTCCGAAGGTTTGGAAATCAGAAGTTAATTGCATTTTATTTCCTGGCTTATAGTTTAACTTTTATTTGATGAAAAACAGGAATTCTAAGAGCAGAATTTTTGTTGTTTTATTTCGTTTTGAAGGTTATTTTTACTTCTACTTGCTTTGTAATTTGCTGGCTACTTCTTAACGAAACTAACAAAACACATTCTTATGTTGCAACAGTGATCTACGCTTAGACTTGCAAAGTTCAGTATTTTAGTGGTTCTTCTAAAAGCAGTTTCAAAGCATCCAATCATGAGGTTTTGCTGCTTTTTCATTGGTACACGTCTTGTAAGTAGGCCTTCATGTTTTCGTACCCGTCTCTAGGAGGATTCTTTCCATGTTCCAGCTCGGAATCTTTCTCATTCTGCACTTGCTCCTTCTCTGCTGGAGCTGAAGGAACCTGAAATGTTTCAGGAAATCTTTGCCAATCATTTTCGCTCAATGAGGGATCTCGTCCGTTCTGTGAAGTGAAATAAAATAAAGCGCCTCTAAGAAAAGAAACAAAACTGAACAAGC